CGAGAGCTTGTCATGGGCTAAGTTGGGACACCCCTCCAGGGTATAAACTTTCGAGAGCCGTGCCCGCGGTTATGTGGCAGATGGGAATTTGTTAATGTCCGGTTGTACATAACTTGACACCAGATCCGAATTAAAACGCATCAATTGTGTGTGTAGCCGTGATGGTCTCTTCTCGGCGGAGTCCGGGAAGTGAACACGGTTTTCTGTGTTATGATTGACGTAAGTAGGAGTTCAGGATCACCTCTTGATCATTACTAGTTGACGACCGTTCCGCTTGTTTCTCTTCTCGCTCTCTTTTGTGTATGTTAGCCACCATATATGCTTAGTCGCTGCTGCAACCTCACCACTTTACCCCTTCCTTTCCCATTAAGCTTTGCTAGTCTTGATACCCATGGTAATGGGATTGCTGAGTCCTCGTGGCTCACAGATTACTACAACAACAGTTGCAGGTACAGGTTGTGCGATGATCATGACGCGAGAGCGATGCTTACTTGTTTTGGAGTTCTTCTGCTTCTTCTTCGATCAGGGGATAGGTTCCAGGTCGGCAGCCTGGGCTAGCAGGGTGGATGTCGTTTGAGTTTCTGTTTGTGTTTCATTCGTAGTCGGATGGTGCTCTGATGTATTATGATGTTGTATTCGTGCGGCATTGTATGCCTTATGTATGTATCCCCATCTATTATGTAATGTTGATGTAATGATATCCACCTTGCAAAAGTGTCTCAATATGCGGGTCTATCCTTGGTGGGACCTTCGAGTTCCTTTTGGATAGGGTCGCATATTGGGCGTGATAGTCATCTAGCTACTTACATGGACCTTAAGGTACTAAGGAAACTATTCACACATGAACCAACAAGGTTCATGAAGATGGCTCTGATGATGGATTCCACCTACGGCAGGGTGCTGGAATAGGTCTCCAGGTTGGATTTCCTCAGAACGAAAACTTGCGATGGCAGAAGAAATCATGAAAAAAATGTTGCTAAGGGTTTCTTGAAATATACTCCCTTCGTCCAAAAATAAGTGCCTCAACTTTGTACTCACTTTAATACAAAGTTGTTGAAGGAAATATGCCCTAGAGGCAATAATAAAGTTATTATTTATTTCCTTATTTCATGATAAATGTTTATTATTCATGCTTACATGTGTGAATACATAGACAAAACATATTGTCCCTAGTATGCCTCTACTTGACTAGCTCATTAATCAAAGATGGTTATGTTTCCTAACCATATACATGTGTTGTCATTTGATGAATGGGATCACATCATTAGGAGAATGATGTGATGGACATGACCCATCCGTTAGCTTAGCATTATGATCATGTCAGTTTCATTGCTACTGCTTTGTTCATGACTTATACAAGTTCCTCAGACTATGAGATTATGCAACTCCCGAATACCGGAGGAACACTTTGTGTGCTACCAGACGTCACAACATAAATGGGTGATTATAAAGGTGCTCTACAGGTGTCTCCGAAGGTGTTTGTTGGGTTGGCATAGATCGAGATTAGGATTTGTCACTCCGTGTTTCGGAGAGGTATCTCTGGGCCCTCTCGGTAATACTCATCACTATAAGCCTTGCAATCATTGTGACTAATGAGTTAGTTGCAGGATGGAGTATTACGGAACGAGTAAAGAGACTTGCCGGTAACGAGATTGAACTAGGTATGATGATACCGACGATCGAGTCTTGGTCAAGTAACATACCGATGACAAAGGGAACAACGTATGTTGTTATGCGGTTTGACCGATAAAGATCTTCATAGAATATGTAGGAACCAATATGAGCATCTAGGTTCCGCTATTGGTTATTGACCAGACACGTGTCTCGGTCATGTCTACATAGTTCTTGAACCTGTAGGGTCCGCACGCTTAACGTTCGATGACGATTGGTATTATGAGTTTATGTGATTTGATGTACAGAAGGTTGTTCGGAGTCCCGGATGAGATCACGGACATGACGAGGAGTCTCGAAATGGTTGAGACATAAAGATTGATATATTGGACGGCTATATTCGGACACCGGAAGTGTTCCGAAGAAGTTTCGGATAAAACCGGAGTACCGGAGGGTTACCAGAACCCCCCGGGGGGTTAATGGGCCTCATGGGCCAAGTGGTGGAAGAGAGGAGCCAGGCCAAGGTGTGGCGCGCCCCAGCCCAAACTGAATTGGACTAGGGGGGGCGGCCCCCCTTTCCTTCTCTCCTTCCCCTTCCTTCTCCTCCTAGTTGGACTAGGAAAGGGGGGAACCTACTCCTACTTGGAGTAGGACTCCCCCCCTTGGGCGCACCCCTTGAGGCCGGCCGGCCCCCTCCTCTCCTCCTTTATATACGGGGGAGGGGGACACCCCATAGATACACAAGTTGATGAGGTTGATCTTTTAGCCGTGTGCGGTGCCCCCCTCCACAGATTTCCACCTCGGTTATATCGTCGTAGTGCTTAGGCGAAGCCCTGCGCCGGTAACTTCATCATCATCGTCACCAAGCCGTTGTGCTGACGGAACTCTCCCTCGGCCTCAGCTGGATCTAGAGTTCGAGGGACGTCACCGAGCTGAACGTGTGCAGATCGCGGAGGTGTCGTGCGTTCGGTTGGATCGCGAAGACGTCCGAATACATCAACCGCGTTACTTAACGCTTCCGCTTTTGGTCTACGAGGGTATGTGGACACACTCTCCCCCTCGTTGCTATGCATCACCTAGATAGATCTTGCGTGATCGTAGGAATTTTTTTTGAAATTACCGCGTTCCCCAGCAGTTGTACTAAAGTTGAGGGGCGGAGGGAGTAGGATTTATGGGTGGAAGAAACAACGTAAGGTGGTGCCCATGGGGCCCACACGGCCTAACCACGCGGGTGGGCCCCTCGGCAGCTTTCGACACTTTCTAGACTCTTCGTGTCTTGGAAAAAGTCATATTAAATCCCTGGTTTTTTTAACCACCGTAGATATGGATTTTCTGAAAAGATGAAAACATGCAGAAAACAACAACTGACAATGTGCACTGAATTAATAGGTTAGTCCAGAAAAATTACTATAAAAATATTCGAAAGTGATATTATAATAGCATGAAGAAATAAAAAATTATAGATACATTTGAGATGTATATTAGTAGCTGACTTGAGTTCCAAAGACCCCTTTCCCTTATTGACTTCTTCAAGCATCTCGAGTTTCTTTCACAAAGGCCCAAACTCTAACTTTTACAATCAAAGATTATAAAACCATCTTCACCATATGTGGGTTTGACAATTGTTGTTAGGAACATGACCTTCCCTATATTGTTCTTATTTTGAACAATCCACAAAGGGCCTTCTTGTTCAGAAAGGAGATAATAGGTGCACTTTCTTTTTGACATATCAAACCACTTCTCATCAATGTGTACAATCCTGCTCATGTCAAGCTAGACCTGACATTTTCCAATGTTGTTTCATCCAACATGAAAATGCAAATCTTGAGTGTGGCTATCTTGTTAGCTGGCTTGAGTAAAGACTTTAAAGCTGCTCGTGTGATGCTTTAGCTTGCCCCACTTGAACATTGTGTGCAATGTTATGCAGCTAACATCCGGAGACCTAGAAAGAGCTCCGAGTGTCTTCATCTATTTAGCGGGATTATAGACATCCTAGACCTTGTGACCTACTCTTTTTTATGTTAGAAACGTCGGCTTCTTGACCTTTTGCAATCTGATCATGTGCTTGTTTCCATATTCTCTCAACAGTTCCAAGACTTGTATGCAAAAGGTTAGCAACAAGCTCTTTGTCCTTTTTCTCAATTTCTCTATCTTTGGTCAGTGCTTCCAGCGACGTAAGCACAAATCTATGATCATATGGCAGTTCTCTTCTTATTGGCTGATCAACACCTGCAACACATGGAGCAAGTTCACAAATCTAGGGGAGGAGTGATGACGATGATGCATGTGTGCTGTCTTGACGAGACCCTCTCTCGAGTGGTGTGTGGGGGGTATCTTATGTGTACTGATCAATGGTTGTGATGGTTTTTGTCCGGTTCTCCATAATTAACTGGCAATCTGTTTTTTGCTCGGTTTTCCGAAATTAGCCGAGCAACTCTTTTCTTCTTACTGAATACAGGATAACTGCCATTTCAAAGAGAGAAAAAATCTCTGGTTGTGTACTCAAGTTGCCTGCATGATCTTGATTTGCATCAACATGTGCATGTGCATCTTCCTCTTCTTCTTCTTTTTGACAAATGTATCTTCCTCTTCTTGATTTAACTCATGATCATGATCTTCATTTGCATCAACATGTGCATCCTCTTCTTGATTTAACTCAAGATCATGATATGCATCCTCCTCAGCAGAAGAGCGCCGGCGTGGATCTAGTACACTGGATCGCGGCCTGCCTGCTCGCCGGCGCCTGGTTCACGGCCTGGAGCGCAGCAGCCTGGTTCACGGCCTGGAGCGCAGCAGCCCGGTAGGGAGGCAAAGGCATCGCGCTATGGGGAGGCAGAGCTGGGGGAGGCGGAGGGTGCGGCCTGAGAACTTTTTGAAATCTGGAGGGTCTGAATGTAAAATTAACTTTGTGTACTAATTTTTGTCTGTTGGCGACAAGTACTTTGGTACGGAGGGAGTAAAATATGGGTCAAACATAGCGTTAGCATATTCGAGCAAGTAGGAGTAGGCAAAATGGCCCAAATGGTCATCTACTATTTTCGACTTATAGTGTATATAAACTTCCAGAAACACTCAAATCTTACATACACTACCTGCTACTAACAGAAAAAAGAAGTCTAGAAAAGATACCCACCATGGATTTTTTTTTTCCTCCAGGTCATTTCTCTATCTAGACAGAATGTGAAAAATACTCCAAAATTACGAGAAGGCAAACGGTAAAAGAAACCAAAACTAGACCAACACTAGGTTATTGACATTGATCTGACTATCTGTATATTGCTAAAGTTGCATTCCAGCTAGCTGAACTTGGCTTCAATTTAGACAGAAGATTGCTGGTTGCAATGGACTATGAGATATGCTCTTCGACATCTCCTGCATCCACGACTTCATCATGCCTCCTCCGACGGAGAAAGTATCTCCAATTCTTCTGGTGAACCAACCTCCTCTGATACATCTGCAAGTGCCTCGAGCATGTTCAAAACATCATTAGTATCATCCAAATAATACTTGGCCTTGCTTGGTTTCTGGCCGACTGTGCAGGCATAGAGCGAGGTTTGGGGATCAACAATGCTCCGCCTCATAATATCAGCTATTCCTTCAAACATATCCTCATCTGATCGATCATCACCTATGCAGAGGACAAAATCTGCTTGTCTTTTATTCTCTGTCAGCATCGATAGGATCTTCTCCGCGACAAATCCCTTGCTGACACTCTGCAATCCAACAGAAGCATTTTATGAACTCTGGGAAGGCAGCAAGTAAATGGTTGCCAGACAAGAAATCAGTTTCCAGAGAGAATCCAGGATTTGTTTAATGAACTAGTATATCATTCACTGTCAATATAACTCTTATATATAGGCCCCTCACAAGTTAGCATGCAAAATTCACTATCACAAGTGGAGGATCACAACACATAAAGATGAGACATTAGATTCTATATTATTGTGGCCTAGTCACGGTAGATAATATTGCTCTGAAAATCAGCATCTACTGACAAATAATGGCTTGCTCATCTCCACAATACTAGATTCAGTATTTTGCTTCTGAGGGACTACAAAATACTAGATGTATGATGTATGGAGAAAAGTAGTACCTGAGGTTTAACCTCTACAATGTGTTGGCCACTCTTCACAGAGACTGGCTCATTGGCAAGAACACTCTCCAAATGATCTAACATTTCTTTTGCTTGTGCAGATCCAAAACCAGGGTCAGCATCTTGGTGGTGCCAGACCAAAGCACTCTCTTTGGTTTCGATATACGAACCATCAGTAGCTTCTGTATACAGGTTCATTACTGGCTCAGCCATTTGCATCCATCCAAACTCTGAGCACTGGTTATTTATTTGCCATTGCTCATCTCTGGTTCGCCTGACAAGGAATAGCTGTTGAGATGAAACTTGCCATAGAACTGAATATTTCAATTCAAATTAACCCCATGAATACAAAGAATAACATTAAACGAGGCACAAACTGAAAATTAAGAACGTGTTAATTATATGCAGGATGAAGAACTGATTCCACTTGTCTCCCAGCTGTTATATAGTTCAACATTCACTGTATTACTGCTTGACTGGGCTATGAGACTTGCACCTAATGGTTGCTGCTGAAATAATTTCTACCAACTGATGGTACTAAAAATCTTCCAATTTTTATCAGCATGTTGTATAGTTGCATCTGCATACTGGTCTTACTTCACCCTAACCGAAAGAAAGTTTCCCTATCCAAGTTTAGCCCGATGAGGTTGACACATGAATGTTCATGCAATGGTAAGTACTCAGTAGAAAAATTGACAGTAGGGTTCTCCCCCACTGTTTCCCGCACAAAATCCATCCATGGTAAATGCCTAACAGTATAAGTGCAAAGTGCAACCAAATAGATTTAAGAGACTTCATGGTAATCACAGCTCTATACAAGAAGCCTTCCCTTTTCTTAAGCACTTACGGAGTTACAGCTTCAATGCATGACTCATGGCTAACATGAGAACTATTAGGGTACAGCCTCTAATTTTGTGAACTCTTGAATTGGTCCACAAACATATACTGCTTTTTTCTACTATAATTTCATCCTCATGTAAGTAAAGTCAATATATTAGTCATGTTCTTAGTACTTGTAGGCTCCCCTACTGATGATCTGGATGATGTTGATGTGGCAATATCTGATATACCTTCAGAACCAACATTCAAATTTATAATTGATGATGCATGTTGTTACTTTTACCCAAGGAATGGGTCTACACGGAATGATGTATTGATATCTGCTGTCCCCAGAACACCAATGGGGGTATGATCCTGTACCCCACAACATAAGATCTGAGAAATTAAATTGTTGTTCAAATGATCGTTCTATGATGTCACCACGTCATATGCCATAATATTGTTAATACTTCCATAAAACACAAAACTCTATTTTTTTTGTGAGTGTCTGAAATATGGTTGATTTTGCATTTGTTTATACTTGAATCTGGAAACAAGTACCAGTGAAAGTATCAGAAGGCGCAAAGTCAATGCAAGACATGTTAAAAAAAAGTAATAATCGTAATTGAAAATTCAAGAAAATGAAGTGAGAGCATACCTCATAAAGTAACCATGTTCAGCCGCAATGCCAAGCTCAGGGCAAGAGTTGAACCACTTCTCAAGGCTACTCCTACCTCTTCCACTTACAATGAAAACAACATTCTTCTTATCAGCACAAAGAGCATTCATGATGTTAACAACAGTCTCATTTGGAGTTCGATTGATCGTAGTTTGTGGTACTAGAGTTCCATCATAGTCCAGAAGTATAACCCTGCTGTTCGACTTCTTGTAATCAGCAACAATAGAATCCACTGTAAGCTTTTTGAAGTTGCGGTCTAGAGCAACCACTCTAAATCCAAATCCAAGTCCAATACCCCAGCACCTCCTCCTAAAATGGTCCCTGCAGCTTCTCTCCAGATCATGAATATAGCTCTTAGACCAATAGGCAACATCATGTGTGCAGACATATCGATAATGCTTCTCATGGCGCAATTGCTTTTCATTCTCTGACAAAGCAATGGACTCGTTCATTGCCTCTGCTGTTGTATCAATGTTCCAAGGGTTCACCCGGATTGCTCCACTCAATGATGGCGAGCAACCTATGAATTCTGACACAACTAGCATACTTTTCCTCTTTGGTGCATCACCACCATCCAAACCAGGAATCCCCTGTCTACACACAATGTACTCATATGGTGTGAGGTTCATCCCATCCCTCACTGCAGTAACAACGACGCACTCAGCCAGAGTGTAATATGTCATCCTTTCCACACTCGACAATGTCCTATAAACAAGCTCCACAGGACTATACCCCGACCGCCCAAACTGTTGATTAATCCTCGTGCAACTTTCCTCGATCTCAGCCTTTAATCCTTGCACGTCCTTCCCACTACCACCCCTTGGGTTTGCAATCTGCACTAGCACTGCTCGGCCCTGCCATTTTGGGTGTGTCTTGAGCATATGCTCAAACGCAAGAATCTTCAGGTTAATCCCCTTGAATATGTCCAGATCATCCACACCAAGCAAGACAGTCTTCCCATGAAACTGCTTCCGTAGCTCTGCAACACGCGACTCGAGATCAGGAAGCTGGAGCTGCGATTTAAGCTGCACCATGTTAATCCCAACAGGCATGATCTTTATCCCCACAGTGCGGCCAAAGTAATCGAGCCCAATGTAGCCTCTCTTGGATTGGTACTCGATTCCGAGCATGCGGCTGCAGCAAGAGAGGAAATGGCGGGCGTAATCAAAGGTATGGAAGCCAATGAGATCACAGTTGAGCAAGGATTTGAGGATCTCGTCACGGACGGGCAGGCTACGGTAGAGCTCCGATGATGGGAATGGGCTGTGCAGGAAGAATCCGATGCGGAGGCGGTTGAATCGGCGGCGCAGGAAAGAGGGGAGCGCCAGGAGGTGGTAGTCGTGGATCCAGATGTAGTCGTCGTCGGGGTTGAGGACCTCGATGACGCGCTGCGAGAAGAGTTTGTTCGCAAGGACGTAGGCCTCCCAGTTGGAGCGGTCGAAGCGGCCACCGTGGTCGGAGGTGAAGGGGAGCATGTAGTGGAAGAGCGGCCACAGGGTCTGCTTGCAGAAGCCGTGGTAGAAGCGGTCGGAGAGGTCCTTGGGGAGGAAGGCCGGTACGCAGCGGAACCTGTCGAGGAGCGCCTGCGCGACGTCTTCCTGCTCAGCGGCTGGCACGTCGGCGCGGAGGGAGCCGACGTAGAGGACCTCCATGTCCTCGGGGAGGCCGTCGCGGAGGTGGAGCAGGAGCGAGTCTTCGTCCCAGCAGAAGGTCCAGCCGCGGCCGTCGGGTCGGCGCTCGCAGCGCACGGGGAGCGTATTGGCGACAACGATGATGCGGTCGTTGGCGAGCGACGACTGCACGTCCGAAGCTACGCTCCCCGCGCGCTCCTCGTCGAGCTCCGCCAGCGTGCCCGGCGTCGTCAACGTCCTCTGCATCCGCCTCGGCCGCGGCGGCCGCCCGCCGCCACCCCCGCTGGAACCCCCGTAGTCGAGTGCCGAGAGATTCCCATTGGCGAGATCGAGCAGGTTGGTGTAGGATCGCGAGAACATGGTGGCGAGACGATCGAAGCCCGCTCGTTCGTGCCCTCGCCGCCTCGAACGAGTAGCTGGATCGATCCAATCCAATCTAGTTGACCTCAGACCCGATCCTCCCGATGCTCCTCCCCCGCCTGAGCCCTAGGAGCGGCGCCGGAAGATGCGGCGTGCAGGAGGTGACGAGGGCTAGGTGAGAGCCCAGGGAGGAGGGCACGGGGGAGGTGCGTGCGACACGCAGCTCTCAAACGGGGCAGATATTTTATTCGCAAAAGGAGAGGCAAGTCCGTTCCATCTGGGCCGCGCAGAGACTGATCGGACGGACGGTGTTCACGAGGCGACGTGGAAGGCCTCCGCCAGCAGCTGCGGCGACGCACACATGCGGGAATGCCTATGCCGCCCACTGCCACCGGGCCTAGACCTCTCACTGGGCCCACGGGGCCAACCAAGATGGAAC